GGGAAGTGGGTAGCCCAGTGAGCAGATTCTTCACATCTCTGGCTTTAGCATTCTCCAGTGTATGATGCCTTCCACTTGAAAATATCGTACGCTACAAGTCACAGAGTGCCCATTTATCCAAATTAAAATAGCCATGAGTCCTTTTCTGAATCCTTGTCATCTTTGCTTGTTTTATGCTTGCAAGCAGTGGCATTGTTTTTAGCTTGAAAGAGTCTTGTTAAAACACTTTCAATGAGCATTGACATGTTGCAGTTAATGCACAGTGCGACTTGTCACATAGGAATGGGCTGACATTTTGGTCTCATGGTGAGCTCAAGAAGCTGTAGTACAGAATTCCCCTTGGACCATATTGTATTATTTTATCTATTTTTTTCAGCAAGGCACTGCATATGGAGAGAGATGCAAAAGGCTCTTCCCTTTTCAACAGGGTCCCTATCAGAGTGCAGCTAACAGGATGTTCTCTGGTAGTGTCTGTGTCCAAAAATGTGTGCAGGGTTAAGGCCTTGGTGTTCTGGCTACATTAAGTTGGAGGCAACGCTCTATCTGTTTTACAGGCCTGCTGTAAAATTAAAGCAAGTGGGAAATTGAGCTGGCAGAAAGGTACAGACATGGAAAATCAGCCTGTTCTTTTTGTGGGGATTTGTGAGCATCAGAAGAAAATGGAAAGTGGAGAGCATTGAAGGAGGAAAAAAATGGGGACGTGAAGCCAAGGTTTGGGATACAGTGGAGCAGTTCCGAGTGCGGTAGCAGGAGCAGGGAGCCCACAAGCAGAGGGCACAGAGCCCTTCTCGCTTCTAAGAAAACTCTCCTGCTAAGGGAAGCAGAGAGCCCAGGCTGGGGAAGGAGGCTTCCCGCGGGAGTGATGCCGTGAGGTCCCTTCACGGGTAGGACCTAGCCAAGGTGAAAAAGGAAGCAGGGAATGGTCTAGGAGTAGGCACTTTCTTTGGTTTGACTTGCACTTCCTGCGCATTACGCTCTTAGACAGGATCTGGAAGCTGATGCAGGTTGAAACTTTTTTTTTTTTTTTTTTTTTTTCCCTTCCCCCCGGTTGTTTTTTTCCCTCTCCCCAGGTAGTTTTTAGCCAGGATCAGGGCCGTTAACTTGTTCACCATCCGTAGCATGAACACTGGTGTGAGTGGTAGGGGAGTGAGAGCAGGGCCACACCTGTGGTAGGACTTTTTTACACCAGATCAAAGCGATTCTGAAAATTTTAATCTAAATTGCACTGCCCAAATGTGTTATCTCATGGCATTAACTTCATAGTCTGCCTTCTATTGATAGATTTTTTTTTTCTTTTTGTATAAATATTTAATACCGAATATGCCTGAAGGTCACAGCAGGTAGAGGTCCTTTTTCGTGAGAGTTGCACAGATGTAGATAATTGGCATCTCTACCTGAAGAGCTCATAGTCTATAGCTTATAGGTGAAGCAGATTGAGAGTTTTGAACTGTTCATTGGTATTTGTTCAGTGGTGTTAGTCTGATGGAAGAAATTCCTCGTTAGTCTAAGAAAGAGTTTTATTGCAGGAAACTTCGAAAGAAAACGTCAGAGGAAGCCCACGAAGAAGCTTTTGGAATCAAATGATCTGGCCACTGCCTTTATGCCAAAGGAGGAGGAGTGGACTCCCCCGAAGAAGGTACTTCCCTTCCAGCGTTGTGAGCACTAGATAGAAACGGAGCCCCGATATCACCCTCTCACATGCTCTCCACTGAGGCAAGGCCCGTGGCTTTCTGTGGCTGTGCTCCAGGAGGGAAGGTCCACCCTTCCCCAAGGTGCTGGCTGTTGTGCTATGATGAAGAAATCTCTTGGATACAGAGGTGTTCCCCACCCCTCCCCACTTACGTGAATTGGGAAGTTCTGGCTGTCAAACCTCCTCTCTTTATTGATTTGTGTGGGAAAAGGATCTGCCTGAGTGCTGGCTGGGGAGGTGTGAGCAGAAATGTTCTGGGCAGGAGGTTTCTGTCACAGGGAATCTCTATTATGCTGCACTGTAGCTTGACCTTGAACTGAAGGCTTTGTCCTTTTTTGTCAGATTTCCTCTGAATAATGTTTCTTTCATTACCCTCCCCAGGGGGCTGGTGAATGGTATGCAAGTGTAGAGCTTGTAGCAGGGTGGAGGCTCGAGTTATATCACACATGCAACATGCAATGTTTGAGTCAGATTTTTTAAATAAAAAACTGCTTTGAAAAAACAATTAAAATGACTTAAAGTGTGGCATCCAGACAAGACTCATCAGTGTCCCTCAGATATATTAAGAGCAGTCTTGCTCTCCTTTTCTCTCCCTGTTTGGCACAATTAGGGTTGCAGTAGTGCAGAGGCCAGTGTGTTTCCATCATGGGCTCCGCACAGATGTAAAAGCAAGAGGTAGTCTTTAGTCCCCAGTACCTTTCAGGGTATTCATAGCCTTTCCAGAAGAGCCCAGGAAGCAGTAGGTGATGCTGGCCACCATGAGACACAGCTGTCTCAGCATTCCTCCCTTCTCAGAAACTGTTGGCTTTTCCGTGTGGAATGTATCAAACACAGAAACCAAATGTTTTTTTGTGCGGTCTCTAGTCATTGATGAATTTATGATTGAAATGTTACTTGTTGTAGTTGTTTGTGAAGGTGCTGAATGGTTGAGGGAAGTGCATCTCTGATCTGCCTCTGGTTGCAGCTGGTGAGTTGTGGCTATGTTGTGTTTCTGCAGGGCAATCGCCCCTCCGAGAGTGACAGCTCTGAGCTCTACTCTCCAACCCACTTCTCGGACCTGGGAGAAGGTAAGTGGAGACGGGACCATGCGGGCAAACTGTTGACACGAGGTTACAGCCTGTGGATGTAGCATGTATATAAAGTGTGTACTGGACCCTCGGAGGGCACTTGCTTCTGCAGTGGCAGAAGATACAGCTACTGAGGTCATTTAGCAGAAGTTGTATATGCCTCCCCTATGGAAAGTAAAAACGTGGGATTCAAAATAGCCCACAAAGATGTTCACTGTTTATTCTTAATCTGGTGCTGGAAGGAAACCCATCACCATGGGTCCTGTACCAATGCAGTGTCTTTGCCTGATGTTGAGACCAGGCTCAACAGTGGCTGCTCTACCCCATGAAGAATTGTGCAGTTATATCTTCTTATCTTTGGTGTGTGATGGTTTGGGAGTTATTTATTTATATTTTTTTCCTGCATTAGCATCACACTGGTGTCTATATCAATACAAAGAGAGCTTTTGTGCAGTGTTTTGGGAGAGGGCATCAAGTTAGCATTTGATTAGTAATTTAAATTTCGCGTTGGTACCTTCTTTTTAGCTCTGGAACAATCTGGAAAATTCAGAGTGATGTTTTTTGGCAGCTCAGCAGAAGAAGCTCAGACCAGTACGAATCAGTGTTGTCCAGGTCTTCTGATGGCTGCAGGGCAGAGTGCCTGGAGGCTGATGTTGCCCCAGGGTTTCCAACTCCAAGGCAGAGAGCTTGTTTGAAGCTATCGGCAGGAGTGTGGAATTTGATCGTGCTGCTGTAGCAGGAGAGTTATTCTGCGTTTTTCTTGAGTGGTATTTCTGTCCCATCCCAGCTCCTGAAAAGCTCTTGGAGAAGCAGCGGAAGCGGAAGAGACAGCGCCATTCCTCCGTTGCGATGCACTCCAAGAAGGAGAGGAATGAGGAAGGGCTAGGGGAGGCCCCACACTCTGAGGTACTGTTGGGTTTTGCTACACGCTGTGATCTCTGTAACCTGTCTGCTACTTCTCAGGGCACTGTGCAGAACAAGGCCAGGGAGTTTTTGGCTGGCTGAACATGAGGAGGGTGTTTCAGCTGGGACTTTGTCCTGCTGAGGTAGTGGCATGAGCCTGGGGTTGAAGCTGAAGGTACCACCCTGATTTAGTAGCTATTTGATGGTGACTGCTTAACTCAGGCTCAGATTTTAAGCTGCTACTCAGCTAATTCTCCAGGAGAAAGGCTGTTCTGATCTGACAAACCCAGGTTTTGCCTGGCATTTTGCTTTGCACCTCAGAAGGTCTTGTTGTAAAAGGTCTTGTCTGCTGGTGGGGGGAGTCTTGCCATGTTGCATACCAACATGAGGTGCATGCCCCTGGCGTGCTAGGGTGAGCTGGAGATCCACGTCAGAGGGTGGGGGGCAGATGTGATTGCTTGCAGAAGACCCTTGTTACACTCTTGCCATCCACCAGAAAGGGATAATTGGGGCAACTGCCTTCTACTGCATCCCAGCAGAGCATACAAATATCTCTGACAAGCGCATTTTGCCTTTTAGGAATGAGCCAGGTATCACCAAGTGTAGGGGAAGCAAGACTTTTCCTGGGAGAGGCAGGACACCCCTGGGCCTCCCACCATCGCCTCTTCCAGTGGCCCAGGTTGAGCAGCAGGCTGTTCTGTCAGGATAGTCAGTATGTATTTCAGGAGCCGATTATAGATATATACTGTTGTATTTGTTACTGTTATACAGCTTCCAGCAGAGCACAAGCAGCACAGCACTTGTCTGAGCAGTGCCAGCCACCCTGGTTTTTGCTGCTTCTGCTTTTTGAGAAGGGCATTTCTGATGGGGGTGATAATTCTGAGTTCGGGGCAACGATCCTGGGTTGGGCAGTCCTCCCTGTGCTGCTGTTAGCACACAGGTCATTCTGTTGTTCCTGAACTGTGCTTCCATGACCTGGAATCTTGTTTCAAGACACCTGTACCAATATCTTTGCCGATGCTGGGGGTAGTTAACACAGTCTGCTGTCAGACACCCACCAAGATGCTGGCTTAGTTCACAGTGAGCAAATTATCCACATACTTTCTATAGGGAAGAAATGAGGGAGCAATTCAGAGCTCCAGGGTAGCAAGGCCAAAGATCCGAGCTTCTCATTGCTCACTGCAGAGGAAGCCCAGAGAATCTGCCTGCCTCCAGCCTTAGGCATCTGTGTCGAGTACCTGAAGCTGGGTGATGTCGGTGCTTGGCACTTTTTACCAGCATCCATTTTCCTGTTGATTGTGGGTCTCATGAGCCGTTTGGCTCGGATGGGTACTGGTGAGTATTGGGGCACTGTGGAGATGCAATTACATTTTCACTTGGAATTCAGACCATGCTGGTCCCTAAGTGACTGTCCACACAGCAGTCCAGGAGGCCTCCTTTCTGCTGAATGGTGCTGGAAGAAATAGATGGTCTGATGATACAGCATCCTTACATACAGAAGCCTTGGATCCAGCTGCTTTCAGAGGAAAAGAGGGCAGAGGAAAACTTGTCCACCTGGGCTGAAATAGGCTGCTTTCTCTGTCCTTGCCTGTCGATGGAGCCAGGAGTACAAGTTCACAACATCAGGGAAGCAAGAGACTGAGAGAAGGGGATGGAAAATGCTGTTGAAATGGTTGTCAAGGTTGTGAGCCGAGGTCAGGCTGTGCCAATGAACAGGCCAGGCTCTGGAGGATGTTGCCAGATGCAGCAGCAGAAATAGCTCTGGAAGAAGACCCAAGATGAGACCTGCCCTCTGTAGGAGGTATGTAGCTTTGCAGTACTCACGTATTGGGTAGGGGAGAAGAGGGGGAATAGTGTGACAGGTTCTTTTGAGTCATGGAAATCCCCTTCTCCTTGTTCCCAAAGCACAACTGCCTGGCCTTGCCTATCTTTCTTGGCTCTGGCATTCCCTACCCTATGTGGATGTAGGAAGCCTTAATTCAAATAAGGCTTAGGTTTCTGTTTGCAAATTGGCCAGATATTGTAGACCTAAAAAGGATGGATTTAGGTCGAAAAGATCTGGGCTAAAGCATGCTGTGCCACACGGCGCAATTTTGCTACCAGCTACTTGCTGAAGATGGGCTTGCTGGTTAAGGTTATGTAACTCCAGGTGTGTTTTATTCTGCCAGTCCATCAGCATGGCAGGCATCAGGGTTCGAAACAAGTAGTCCCAGAAGCTGTGAGCCAGAAGCTTAGAAAGATGAACCTCTTCAAAATCTCTCATATAGCAAGCCTGAATCTCTCCTGAATCTCCAGTGTCCTTAATCCATTAAGGAGGTGTCCACTAAGGCACGCTGTGTCCTTGAGGTGGGTCCTCAGTGACCGTGAGGGGAGCGGAGCCCGGGGCCCCGGAGGGAGCAGAGCAGGAGCTGACGCTGTTTGCCGGGGCCGGTAGCTGATTAACTCTGCTCTTGTTCTTTGTTACAGTGACCCCTGCAACCTCGAGGTCACTGCTGAGCTGAGCAGAAGAGGGAGCACGAATGTAGGAGTAGGAGGACCTGAGCTGTTCCCAGTCCCTGGAGCACTGGTCTCCAGTGATTCTCCCGGAGCTGCAGGCTGATGTGGAAGAGAGGGCTGTCAATGCAGACTCGGGGCAGAAGTAACCGCTTGAATTTTAGGGCACCTCATCCAGCGTTCGGCCAAAGGGCTGTCTTGTGGCAGACTGTGGCCTTGCTAGCTGAAGGAAGGCTGCAGGAGCAGAGGTGTCGTAGGCAGCACTCGAAGATGCTGCTGGGTATAGAGGCAAAGACATCAGTAGTGTTGTTAGCTGTTCTTTATTGCAGCGCAGTAGAGACCCTTCGTGTCCCTGCAGCAGGGCTGTGTGTTAGGGTGGCACAGCTTCAGTGCCCTTTTTCAGCATTTCCGCACTGCTGAAACTGCTGCTGGCCTTCCAGTGTGTCTATAATAGTCTGCGAGGTTGTAACTGTATGGTATAATGGATTGGCACTAGTTTGTAGCTGGGAATTTGCTTTTTTAATGCTCAATAAAGGAAGTTTATACCATTCATCTTTGCATTGTGTGTTTTAATATACCATCAGTGCATCTGTGCTTCAGTGCTCCACGAAACTCGCACGGCTTTAAAATATCCCCAAATGAAAGCATGCTATTGCATCCAAAGAATGAAAAACCAGCAAAAGAAGCAGCTTTATCTGACTAGGATACCAACTCCCAAGTTCTTTCCACTTAAGGGCCTAAAACTTCCCCCAAATTTGTTTTGCCAGGCTAATCGTGTGTCCAGAGTGTATCTAGTTCAGCTGGCAAGCTGTATTCACATTCATCCTAGTGTTAGTGGTACAACATTTCTGAGGGGTATTCTCCCACACAGAAACTGGTGTCAAGCTCTCTCTCCTGATTGCTATTTGGATACCCAGTGCTGGGCATCTTCAAGCGTGTTGAGAGAGATTGCTACTCTAGACAGGAGTTTGAATTCCTGATAAGGTCTTTAAGGAAAACAGTGTGTGTCTGCATATACACTGGGAAAGGCTTTGTGAGCCCAGGGGGACATGGTGGATAGTCACTGAGACCTCCTGGATACAGCGCAGGGCTGTGGTCTGGGTTATCAAAAACAAAAATGTTCTTGCTCAAAGCACTTAGCCGGTTCCTAAGCACTATGTTGGTGCAGTGATGAAAGTCCTGCAAGGCTTCCCCTCCATGGAGTTTTGGCTGGGGTTCATAAAAGACTGCAGAAGTATTGCCTAGATTGTATCTAAAAGCATAGAAGTTTCCTATCTGAAATTGTCTGTTTTGGTGAAAGTGAAGGATGTTCTGCCATGTGCCAGTGTCTCTAGTACAGCTGCTGCTTTTCTTCCCTTAAACAGTCGCTGGGCAGGTTCACATGCATGTGAGAGGGTGTCCTTCCACCTTGGGAAATGCTGTGGCCTTTGCAGGATCTGTCAACTTGGCCCACGTGGGTGCAATTGAGTCTCCATTTTGCAAAGTCCCTCTGTTTTCCTGCAGGATGCCGGCGCTGTTAGGTGTTGCAGTCAGTGCTCTCACTGTCACCCAGGTGTCAAGTAGTTACTACAGACTTGCCACCTCAGGCAGGAGGGCTGGTGTTAATGCCTTGTTCACATTAGGGCAGGCCTGCTAATTCACAGCACCTGTGGAGGCGTACAAGGATAGCACAAGCTGAGAAGTGTCTGAAGAAAATTAGTTCATTTGCTGGGTAAAACCTGCAGTAAAGATTGTTTGAAGGTTCTCGTTTGCATTTGCAGCACAAGCAGGCATCATGATGTAGGGTGTTGGGTGGAGGACGTGATTTTTCAGCCTCTTCCAGCCTGCCTAGTTTGTTTCTATGCAGGGTAACCTTTGTTCCACAACCATGACTCTTCCATTTTCAGAGAGGGGATAAACATGGCAGAATAGTTTTATTGAATGTATGTGTATTTTGAATGATTTAACAAGCTAAGAGCTCTTTTCTTCCCTTCCTTAAAAATTTTGGTGGAACTGTATAGGGGTGTCTCTCCAGGGTGGGTAGCAGCCTGCAGTGCAGTTTACAGGCTGACTGCCAAACCTGTATGTATTTGATAGCTCAATTTGCAAGTGAGGACAGGAAATACTTACAGCCTAAATTCTGGATTTTTTTCTTAAAGGGGGAGACATCAGTTCATGGGACTGCTGCAAGCCCCAAAGAGGGCAATGAAGAAGGGTCTGAGAATGACCATGGAGTGCCTTCATCCAAAAGGATGCAGGGGGAGCGCGGAGGAGGAGCAGCTCTCAAGGAAAACGTGTGTCAGGTAGTGTCCTTGAAGGGATGTCCCAAACTTTACCACCCTCAAATTTTCTCATGTAAACTCTGGCATGTACCATTCCCCCTGCTAACCAGATAGCCATAAGGCACTTCTTACAGAACACCAAAATGGGGTTAATTCTTTATGAGGACTGTGCACTTCTGGAAGCTTTGACTGTCCATGTACCAGTGCCCCTGCTAACCAGACAGCCATAAGGCACTTCTTAAAGAATTAACCCCATTTCGGTGTTCTGTATGAGGACCGTGCACTTCTGGAAGCTTTGACTGTCCTTGAGCTGGTAGCACCCCTCATTCTGAACTGAGCCTTCCCTGTGTGAGCGTGTCTCATTCTTCTAAAAGTTAAGCATATGAGAGAGGAAAACATGACCAATGTATAACCTACTTCAACTGATGTACAGTAGCAGGTGGCAGCAGAAACCACCCCAAATTCCTGGAGCAAGGAGAGCTCAGACACTTCCTGCAGCATCTCTGCTCCAGCCCTGACCGGTGCCGGGCTGCGCTGCTGCCCATGCCGCGCTGGGGAAGGGGCTGCTCGGAGCTCATGTTCTGCTTCCTTCCCTGCAGATCTGCGAGAAGCCGGGGGAGTTGCTGCTGTGTGAGGCGCAGTGCTGTGGTGCTTTCCACCTGCAGTGCCTTGGGCTCTCCGAGATGCCAAAGGGCAAATTCATCTGCAATGAGTGTTCCACAGGTACGGCAGCCTTCGCGAGGGCAGGACAGGGTGCTTCGTGCGTGCTTGCCTGGTGCTCTCTTCACTGCAGGATTTATGCCTGCAGTAAGGCCATTAGCTGCCTCTCAGTTCTCTGCTTATTGACTTAATGTTTGATGATCGTATTTCAATTAACTGGTCTCATTCCTGAGCAAATATTCTTCAGGCAGGTGGGTTAGGAAGAAGGAAATGTTCAGAGTCTTGTGGGAAAAAGAAAGGGAAATTTTGTATCTGATATTAGAGAAAAAAGAGCAGTAGGGAGGGATGAGTCCAGGGCAAGCTGGAAAGTGGGAAGTATGTAAGTGGAGCGGTTGATTTTTCTTTCCTCTTCCCTCAGCTCCAGCCACTGCTCACAATTTTAATGATCTTTGTTTCCATTTGGAGCTGTATTGCAGCTGCAGGCAAAACCAGCCTGCTGCAGCGTGCTGTGCTTTGGGATCCATGCAGCGCGCTGGGAAGCTGCGCGGTGCTAACACGCAGCTCGGCGGCGATGGCCGGCGTCCCTTTAGCCCTGCTGTGCGGCTGGTGTGACGTCTGCTGCTCTTTCTGCAGGGGTCCACACCTGCTTTGTGTGCAAGAGCAGCGGGGAGGACGTGAAGCGGTGCCTGCTGCCCCTCTGCGGGAAGTACTACCACGAGCAGTGCATACAGAAGTACCCGCCCACGGTCCTGCAGAACAAGGGCTTCCGATGCTCCCTGCACATATGTATGACTTGCCATGCTGCTAACCCTGCAAACATCTCTGCATCTAAAGGTACTTTGGTTCTCCAGAGCAGGCCTGGGAGGCGAGCAGAATGCCTACCCTTTATGTTTCCTGGCCACTGTGCTCTTACCTGGTCCACTAGTTGTTTGTATTGATTTTCTGTCCTAGCCACATTGCAAATGCTCAAATAGCTTGCTGGGCAGCAGCTGCTCTCCAGTGAGCAGGGAGGAGGTGTCTGTATGAGGTTCCTGCTCATCAGCACCCCTGATGGTCAGAGGCAGCAACTAAAATGTTCTTGTCTGTCCAGAAACTCGGCTGCCTGCACGTCCAGGGATGGCACGTTCCTTTCTGGGCTTTGATTAAGTCTCTGGATCTGTGCAGACTCTCACGTTTCTCCTACTTACTTTTCACTGTTACTAGTGCTGCAGTCAGTGCCTGCTTGGCTGTCAAGGCAATGGTACAGAAAACAGCATAGTCCTGATTTTGGTATTCTTTTATTCTTTTTTAAAACTTTTTTTTAAAATGCAAATTCATCTTGTAGTGACACATTGGGGTTAAGCTTCTCAAGCAAATGTTTGTTTGAATTGTTCACAGCAATGCTTTGACCTTTTTTTCCCCCATGATTAAACCTAAAACATTTATATGTGTCTTTTATATTTGCTTTCAAAAGTGTCTGTCTTTAAATTCCTGGTATCGTAAGACTGGTGGTAGTAGTAATAATAATAATAATAATAACTGCTAGTATTACTATTATTATTATTATTATCCTTGAACTTTGCTATCCTATCCTTTATTTCTGTATGCTGATACTTTGTATAATAGAAGTCACCAGGGCCTCAAACCCACAACTGACCCCTTGTCCAGTGAATGTTTGCCTTGTGTTTTTCTGGATTCTTCTTAATGGGCAAATTTACCCCTTTCCCCTGATCTTTTCTCCCTATTAATAACCTCCTCTTGAGGAATTGAACACAAGCCCTAAACATTTTGAATAAAATAGATTTTAATAGTCTCTAAATTCTCTTTTCTGGAATTTGGTAGTAAAATAGTGAGGTGAATGATGATGTTTTCAAAAGTAGCACAGATTATTTTCCTGATGTTCAGCTAAGCACTTGGATCACCTTCTCTCTAGTTACTGTCTGAACTAATTTGCTAATTTTTGTGTATGACAGCAGTGTTAGTCCGTGGACTCTTGAACTATATCTACTGCATGCAGAAGGTTTTTCGCTTCTAAATAATAGGTTTTGTTACGTTAAATAGTTTGGTGGAATCCGATGAGTATGACATGGGTTGTTTATAAAGATTAAAAGTAAATTTCTGTTTCTGAAGATCACCTGCAGTTGCTTGTTTGGCCCTCGTATGCTAACAGACTAGCTCTGAGGAGAAACGGAAACCTGGCTTCCCCCGAGGCTCACTGTGTTTTCGGTGCTAGGTCGCCTGATGC